CAGTGGTCTCTTTGGTGGGTGTGGTCCTGATCTTTCTGGGGACAGATGAAAGGGCAGCATGATAAATAGGAGACAGATTGTATCCAAGGCCTCCACCCCTGTTGAATGAGAGATTTTCTATACGCACATGTATGGCCTCCCTGACCCCTCTCTCAAACCAGGTATCTTCTCAGTCCAAAATGAGTGCATCTCGGTCATCAAATGAGTGTCCTTTGTCCTTCAAATGAAGTTCCCATGACTCAACTTCCAGATAATAGCTCCAACAAGAAATTTTCCCACTAAAGTTGTGTCTTGGATTGATATATGGGAGCCATCCATCACAACCCTAAGATCCTTTTTTCTTGTCAGTCACTGCCTGCTCAGATCCCAATGTACTTGAAAAGTTCAGATTTCTTGCCCCTGTGTACATTAATTTACATATACAGTAGATTATAAGAGCCATTTTAATACCCACTCCAGCTGTTTGAATAAATCCGTTTGATATGATTTAATGACTTATTTTGTTTTAATGGGAAGATTGAGAATGTTTACAAAGTGAAACAAGAATGGAAACTTAAAAAAAATTAACATCATATTCTCCAGAGCAAAGAATAAGATTGAACAGGGGAAGGTACTGCTTTAATACACTGCCATCATGTGGCTACTGAAAGGTCAAGCATGAAAATCTACTTTCGACTTGCATCTACAAAAATTGATAAATATTATCAAAGTTTCTTAAACTGGGCATCAGTATCTACCAAAATCTTACATATACTGTACAGAGCACTGTCAGTGAACCCTAAAAGTTGTACAAGTAGCTATATCAAAACTGTTGCATTTTGACAATATTTCTCTTATGGTTTCATTGAAGTTGAACTGATTTAGTAGTCCTGTTGGGGAGAAAACATGGAAATATACATTCTCCTGAACTATGTACAGCAGAACGAGTCCAAACTACCAGCACAAAATATTTGATTTTGCAGGCTTCTTCATGAAATAGTATTGTACAATTAATATAGCTAGAGATGTCAGGTACTTTGTTGTTTTCAAAGTAACAGAATTTCTAACTTTAGCGTTCACCCTAAGTTATGTAATGAGATATGTAATATTCATGAGTTATATGCTAATGTGCTTGAGAGGTGGGGCCTCAAGAGATGTTAAAAAGAAGAGCCTGGGAGGAGAAGTCTAAGAGAGTCAGAGGAGTCTGTGTTAGGAATCTGAGAGAAGGATAGTTTTGAATCTGAGGAGTGATTAGTAACCTGTGATATTTAATATAAAAGATTAATATTGATCCTTGGTGAAACTGAAAGAACATACTTATGAATTATCCTAGAAACCATCTGTAACCAATAAACCTGTTTTATTAATAAGTCAGTACTGAATGGACCTTCGTCTTTGCTAAGTAAAATAAGTTGACAAAGAGATCAACTGGTGGCAGCGTGTGAAGAGACGTTTTGGTTTACCTTTGTGAGCTCTGTGTTTTGGGAGCCAAGCAGGGGCTACAAGGGTGTACGTCACAATTGGTGTACGGCGGCGGGATACATAATAATCCAGTAACGTCAGAGTTTAAATGTGAATTTTTTTTGAGTCATGGGTACCTTTTAGTTAGAGGTCTGTGGTGAAGAAGTGGATGACCTGCTAGAGCTTTTGTGGAAAAGCTTAGTGGTAGGGCTTCTGATCCCAGATCTGGGAGAACTAAAGATAGGGAACGACTCTGAAGGAAAAATTCCTTTCATTTACCTCAGAATTGGAGAGACCTTGTGGCTAGCTTAAAATCCAAGGCTCTGAGAGTTAAGGCAGCACTTTGTCACGTTCCCGGGGGTTTCAACAGCAAAGTCTGATAAGCCAGTCTATCAGAAGTTCAGAGGATGCAGAGCCAATACAAAAATTCCAAAGCCAAACCACAAACCATAATCTGAGGTCAGGGCCCAAAGCCAAATCACACAATGTAGTCCGGGGTCAGAGTCCAAAGCCAACGGTCCAGAGAACAAGGTTCAAGGTAGTCAGGAGCATGGATGA